TCTATCGACAATTGTATTAAATTCGTTAAATCTTTTGCTGAGGCCTGGAACAAATCACTAGAAAAGTTGATCTTTTACATCCTTCTTCAAATGACTTAATGCTTAAATTATATACTTGTAAAATACCCTTGCAGCAAGGATGGATCCTTTAGTAATATATAAGTCGTAAAGGAATTAAACCTGGAAACTTTCAATCTTGAGAGGAAATTGACATGGAAAAAATGCTCAAAAAGGGGGTCTTTGGGGACGCACTTAAGAAGTATATTGGAGTGAACCCCCCGGTTAATATACACACAACAGTCTCTAAAGTATTTCGACAAAGAATGCAACTTGGAAATATTACACATATTAATAGGTAGTTGTAAAATTTTCAGCACCCATGCAAATGCCACTCGGGTGTAGTGGTTAGTGGGCTTGCCAGACAATGAACAACAAACCAGAAGTTGTTTCTCTGAGGTCCGAAAATTATGTACACATTATTTTAAATTCTTGGGCGAGATCCAACGCTCAATTATCCATGTTGAGTGATATAAATCACTTATATTGGCTTTGTTTTAGTCACAAGCTTACAGAATAGGTGAAATCTCATTTGAATGTGGCAAAAAGTATGATCACGCGGTACTCGACTCGACTAACTCGACGGGGCGTATCGAAACCAAAACCGTTAATTTGAATTTCAAATCTCCCCTTTCTTTGGAAAATCAATGATTGTGAGTCTCACAGTTCACCGTTTGTCGGCGTTTTGGTCCCCAGATGTGAGAAGATGCAAATCTTCAGAGATTTCAACCAAAAGCCTCGATATATCGCCAGTTCTTTTATTATTCTCCCCAATATTTTATTTGCACAAGGACTCCCATTACAACCCTCCATCTCTGCATCAACATATTCATTACATTAAACGCAGCAATTTCCAAAAGTTCTACGCATCTGTTCGAAATTGATCAAAACGCCCCGTTCTCTTCCAAAACGCCCCGTTCGCGTTTTTGGAAGACAACGGGTCGTTTTGGTCAATTTCGAACAGTTGTGTAGGATTTTTCAAAATTGCTGCGTTTCATGAAATAAATATGTTGATGCAGCGATGGAGGGTTGTAATGGGAGTCCTTGCGCAGAATATGGGGGAGAGTGATAGAAGAACTGGCGAGATATCAAGAAACGTGGTTGAAATCTCTGAGGATTTGCAACTTCTCACATCTGGGGACCAAAACGCCGCTAAAACAAAAGCAATGTCTCGACTGAAAGGTATTCCTGTGAAGGTTTTAATGGAACAAGTTTGAGGAAAAACGGTGAAGTGTGAGACTCACCATTATTGATTTTCCAAAGACAGGGTAGATTTGAAATTCAAATTAACGGTTTTGCGGGGCGTTTTGGTTTCGATACGCCCCGTCGAGTTAGTACCGCGTGATGATTGAAGTTAGATGAAGACCTGGGGATGAAGAAAATAATCTTGTTTATTCTAGATACACGACATCTTGACGCAGTTTATCGGGAATGCAAAATAGAGTTCCATGTTGTAAGTTATCACATGAAAATATCAATTTGGTCCAACTATAAAATTAGTTTCATTTTACCCCCTATCTTTCAAATAGATACACTTGAACTAAGAAAACATTGTATCATATTAGGGAGGTTAAAAGGCTTTGTATAAAAACCTCCTACCTCATACACATCTACCCAAGTACGTTGGGCATGATACAGTCTTTAAAGATCTTAGTATATTAAATCTTAGTTTACGATGACTTATAGATGCATTTGTAATGACCCTTGATAGCAAGTTGCTACTACAGCCCAGCTGGTTTCGATTCCCACCCGGAGCATCGGATTTAGCACTCTTTCTTTCAATTTCTTTATCTGGCTGGTTGGACCTATGCTCGCGGTCGTTAGTTAGTTATTCCCCTGGGGCACCCTCGGGTCATTACACATTACGATGCACCCATATTTCATTATTTATGGATCTGTCATCCGTCTAGTCATAAAATAAAGCCGGGATTGTAGCAATGTTAATAATTAGATTTAAAAATCTTTAAAATTGAGCCCTTCAATGACTGTATCATGTCCCACGTAGGTGGGTAGGTGGGTATGAGGTAGGAGTTTTTTTACACAAAGCCAAGTTAAGATTATAGGTCAAGAAATATCCTTTACCTATACCTATACTGTACGTAGTTTGTTATTGCACTAAGCGGTATTTTACCTAAGTTTAATTTTACTATTTGGTCACTCACTCTCATTGCTGCATCATGCTAGAAATTTAACATTTCATATAAAGTCACTGCCCCATTAGCGGGCCGCAACATCCCTCTCCAATACAGTAGCTACACCACAGTCTCTGAAGTGTAAAACAGTTCTTGGAGGTGCTATGTACTGGCTTGTATATGTCATACAAGCCAACGCATGGTTTTCATTCTTTCATCCAGGATGTCATTTCTATCATCAATTGTAGCATACGGTTTCGTACGCATACGTATAAAACATACGGATAGGTACACCTATATTTTTACGCTAATCTTAACCTCCCTAATATCACTTAACTCACGCACCTAAACTTTCCCACTTCCATGTTAACTTTGTAGAATATCATACAAGAATTAGACAGTCGAAACCACTGAGCTTGATATGAAACATGGGATTTTTGACTGACTCCCAACTTTAATCTAAAAAAAACTGACTAATCCCTGGATATTTTATGATTTAATGCATTCCAGTATAAAACAGATTTCATTTATGCAATTCAAACATTTCAAAGCATCCTGTTAGTTGGACATTTTTCCAGTCTTCAGATTTACTCTACATAATTAATCATAACAACGTTTTAAATAAAATTACTTGAACATGTAAATAAATATATTTTAAGTTGATATACACTAAACATCCTACATCAAGAGGGATTTCATATGAAGAATATCACAGGGATAATATCAATATTTCCTGAGGGATTGCAGTGACTGAGGGAAATATCAATATCATCGAGGCATATTCCCCATAACATCCTGACAGGTAAAGAACAACCTTATACCATGGTCAAGAGCAAAATATGAGAAAACCCCAAAAAAGTATATTGCTTTTAAGGTGGGACCTGGTCCGTCAGCCCAAAAAAATCCTCAACAGATTTTCCTGAAAATCGCACAGTGTATGTAAACAAGTGGAATACATATGCTGTAGAAATTTTAAGCAGAAAAAATAATTTCAGATATTGTAAGTAGGTTTCAAAGATCATATTTTTGAGGACCCCATGCTGATAAAATTGTCATATTTAACATGTAATCCTATGCAGGCCTGTCAACTGTCCCGCATTTTGCGTATTTGTCACGCATTTGCTGAAGAATTTGAAGTCACGCCAGTTATTTTTGCGTGACAGAAAATGTCACGCAAATACGCATTTTACCTGGTATTGTCAAGCAAAAATATTTCTGCAGAAAAATTTCTAAAAAAGATCGTCTACACAGCAAAAATACGAACGTCCGAAAAAAATGTACGCATTTCGTTCGGACTTTTCACGCGAATTACGTGTATGTCACGCATTCGGTTCGAAATATTTCGTACCTACACCCCCCCCCCCGTCGACGGATGTTTGAAATGCGAGCGTGAAAAATTTGAGGTGTTCAAAATTTGGCAAGATGTAATAAAATTTAAACCAAGGTGTTCAAAATTTGGATCAAGGTGTTCAGATTTGGACCAAGGTGTCCACATTTTGAGGGGAGGTGTTCAACATTTCCAAGTCACTCATGTTAGGTGTTCCCAAGTTGACAGGCCTGCCTATGGGAAAACCATACATTTAGTTTACCCTCAGGGGATCTTAATTTATGGTAAAACAGCTCGATAGATTTTTCTTAGAGTTCAACATTGATTTATTTGAGATACGAATAGGCTTATGTTCGTTTTTTGTAAAAAGATTTAAAAAAACTGTAGTCCCAGTATTCTGTCAAAGTACCTTATATTTTGAGAAAAAGACCGACCTAAATTCCATCTGTTGGTGAAGAGAACAATTGAATTACGTCAAAAATTTCATAAAAAACATAAAAATGGTCAAGAGCAAAATATGAGAAAACCCCAAAAAATTCTATTGCTTGTAAAACATACAAAATGATGACTACAAATAACATTTAACACATTGAACAAAGTTCTTAAGTGAGTCACCTGGTCACTATCCTGTTTATTTCCTCCTGGGAGTACCATACTTGACAATGAACGGATTTCCCCAGGAATTTATATCCTATTTCCCTATCCCAAAATCGTGATTTATCACTTGCTGTCATATACCTGATATTGCTCTGACCATTGTATAAGATAATCATATACACTTGACAAAAGACATACATGTACATTGTATTACAGGAAAAGTGAAATACAATTTGATATTTTTAACCACTAGGATTTACATGAAATTACTCATAACTTTCACATATTAAATCAGGTGAATGTGTCATTTTTGGAGAAGTTTTTGGTATGATAGATTGACAGTTTCTTGTTGATTTAACAAGGAATATGTTTTACTTATTCTTAAGAACACATAACAAAGTCATCTATATGTATATACTGTAAAACGGGTAATTTTGACACCGGGAAATTTTAGTGATTTTTCAATTTTAGGGGGTTTTAGCGTGGGAAATTTTAGCGAAATGAAGATTAATCTTTAAAAAATCAAATTAGCGAAATGTATTAGAAATTTTATCATTTATGGCAGAAGAATGAATAACGGACATGACAGAGGAATTATCAAAATGTAAGACTTCTAACGCACATTGTATTGGTCCAAACTGAATGGATGGCTATTTATCTATCAGATATTGAAAGAAACATACGATTTAAAAATATTTACCTTTTTCAAATTACAAACCGGAAGTCGAGCAATGAACGAAAAGCTCCTTAAATACTAGTATTCATGTAGTTTCCCGGGAATTTGCAAATTTTAGCGCCCGGTTTATTTTAACCCCGGTTTATTTTAGTGAATTGAATTTTTAGCGAAACTATAGCGATCGCTAACAATCGCTAACAATTAACCCTCGCTAACAATACCCATTTTACAGTATATAGTCTATATAATAATGCATGACAAAATGAATGTACAGAATATTGCACTGCATTGAGAATGTTTTTTCGCTGCAATTTACAGAAAATTTGATGACACTTTTAGATTGGGAGATGAAAACAAAAATGCCACATTCACCAAATTAAGTATAAGGCGCAAAATTAAAACTAGTTACAGTATTTTTATAACTGACATAATTACATATCTGACCTTGATGTTATACGCATCCATGATGGTGTTAAACAATCATACACACATGTAAAAGTAACTCTATATCATAAGATATCCACATGTTTACTGGGAATATATATTGCAGAGTTCATATTCCCCAAATATAATCAGAATCGACATTTCATGAATTGAGTAGCATATGAAACATATACATGTACGTATATACTAAACTGAGTAATCGTGTGCTAGAAAGTTCTTAAACATCTGACATAAAACATTTAATACAATGCTACATGTACAATTACAAAATAGTCTTTATAATAATATGTTTTAATAAATAAAATATTTTAAATACTTCAGGAGTTATCATGTGTAAAATATCATTCACTTCATGCTCAACTATTCGTTAGGAGTCTAAAAAGTCAACAACTTCATCCAATTCTCGTTTTTTGGCCTCTTTATGGGCCCAGCGCTGTTCTGCAATTTGTGGAGTTGCACCCCATTTTTCATGATATATTCTTTTACCACAGGCTGGACACTTTTTACCACCTAGAATGGGAAAAGGAAATTCCTAAATGAAGGCATAAAAGTATAACTTTTATAAAAGTCGGCAATCCTTTCTCTTAGAAAATCGTTTTAATTATTTTTAAATTAAAACTGCACAGATTTAACTTTGATGGCCCTCTGATTTTAGTGATGTCCTAACAAAAATCATGAAACTATTTACTTCAGAAAAGAAGTCAGGAACCCCACCACATCCAATATATTCACCTGGCAAATGATCACAATTTAACACCCAAGAGTGCAATAACACATGCACAGTTCGCACTCTGATTTTAGCCTGATTTTCAAATCATGATACATGTTTGTCAAATTTGGAAATTCCCACTCAGGTATGTAAAATAAGAGTTTTTATGTATTTGGGAAAAATCCTGGAGGGAATGCCACATGTAATTCCATGTAAATTAAATGTAATTTCATTAATGCAAAGACAAAATTATGTACTTCCAAGGCAGCCCAGGACCAAAAGAGTATGTGATCTAAAAAACATTTAAGAATTATTTCGCAAACCAGCTAGTTGCTCCACCTGCCTCTAAGCTAGCAATTAGATTTCCCGAATACTATACTGTATGCAATACCTAGATAATACCTACCTTCAAAAGGTGGAGTTTTCATATATACATCGAGACATTTGTGGTGGTATATGTGGCCGCAGTAGACTCTCTCAGCAAACATGTCATGGTGCTCATCTGTTATAATATTCTGAAAAATATAAATATTAAATGCACTGTACATAGAGGATGTTCTTTTTATTCCATAGTTAAAGTCATCATCAGAATTGTCGGAAATTAAGTGATTTAATTCAAATTTTCCAAACGATCAGGCGATGTTGACACTTAGCCTCGTTTTGAGTCTGAAGTAGCAAAAATCCATAATTGATAGCATACGGCGCCGTATGTCATGGCTTAAACACCGTATGCTATGGTTAAGTGAAAAGTTGTCAATAATATCATATTTTACCACTGATTACAAAAATACCGTTTTTATTTTGACATGTTTTCCTATGAATATCATGCTAACTAGCCTATGGAATAAAAGTATTTATACAAGGCAGTAACATGTAATATCAACGCCTGCCATTTGTTATAGATGCAAAATGCCAACCACCAAATGCCAAACACCATCCGCAAAAAAGTACTTCACCAATTTTGGTGGTGACATAAAAATCATATAGAAGATGAGCATGTCTCAAAAGGTAAGCACTACATGTAATCCATTCTGTTAACTGATTTGTTAACATAAATGAAACTAAGCAGAAATTTGGGAATGTTTTCTAAAAGATTGGTACAAAAACCTTTTACAATTCAATTAATTGCAATCGATTAGATAATTCACAAATGTGTTTATATACAATACTATTTTTTAATGTTATTTTTTAACATGTTAATTTAGAATGTTGTCTACGTGTCTGGCTACTTTATTCCTTGCTTATTTCCCCATTTCCTCTCTATCCAATATAAGTAATTTTCCCTAAATAAATATAGCATGTCCTTTACTCATATTTATTTATTGATTGAAGCAGCCAAAAGTCTCAAATATTTTGATTTATAATTTTTTTAAAATTCAAAATCATACTTGTGGGTCTTTAGGTAATCCCCTTTTTCCACAACAAGGACAGCGTTCCCCTGGTAACCTTCGTATACAATCCCTTATAAGGAAATCCGCAACTGGCTTCAGGGAAGGTGAAGGTTCAAACGGAGGATCTCTATTAAAAAAACAAGACAAGAATGAATCAACTGTACATTTAAAAATAAAATCTAACTGTAGAATCCATTGTTAAAAGTTCTTATATAACTTTACTGGAAAAATGAAGTTGTGGGCCACTTCATTGGAGATCACTAATTTAAAATCAATATTTATTGTGCCGTTAAAAGGTTACTTATCACTCGAACAATATTTTTAATTCATGACTGTAAATAAAAGTTAGAATTTCCTTACTTGGGTCTTTTTCGTAATGGTGGAGTGACATGTCTTCTTGCAATTTCATTAGCTTGACCCAGAAAGTTGCGCAGGAATATTTCAGGGAAGTTATGGGAAGTGATTTCAACTCTGAAATAAAAGGTTAAGATTTTTAAAATCATTACTTCTTATTTCATATGCAAATATGTAATTAAATCATACACTACATTTTGCAAAGTTTAACAATGTTGATCTTCAACAAAATATCTTGTATATGCAATTGTGATACGCTACCTGCACAGTTGGGCATCTAATATACCTTCTTGTTGAATAAGTATTTTACACTTGGAATCTTAAGAGCCTAAAGAATTTATTCACTGCATAAGCATCCAAAATGTCACCATGTGCCATTTGTTACAGACACCAACCACCAACACCAACCGCCGAACACAAAAATAGTTGTAGACCATAACAAGGCATTAACATGCAAAATGTCACAACCTGCCATTTGTTACAGATGCCAAACACCAATGGCCGACTGCCATGCACAAAAGTCTACAAAAAAGACTATAACAATATGTCACCACTTGTGGTGGTGACATAAAAAGGAGAACTCACTTCATCTGTTCTAAATGGTAACCAAGCGGAAAACTTTAACAAGGCATTAGCATGCAAAGTGTCACCACCTACCATTTGTTACAGATGCCAACCACCAAACATCAACCATTGAACACAAAAATAGTTGGATACCATAACAAGGCATTAACATGCAAAATGTCACAACCTGCCATTTGTTACAGATGCCAAACACCAATGGCCGACTGCCATGCACAAAAAGTCTACAAAAAAGACTATAACAATATGTCACCACTTGTGGTGGTGACATAAAAAGGAGAACTCACTTCATCTGTTCTAAATGGTAACCAAGCGGAAAACTTTAACAAGGCATTAGCATGCAAAGTGTCACCACCTACCATTTGTTACAGATGCCAACCACCAAACATCAACCATTGAACACAAAAATAGTTGGATACCATAACAAGGCATTAACATGCAAAATGTCACAGCCTATCATTTGTTACACATGCCAAACACCAATAGCCAAAACACCAATGGTCCACCGCTATGCACAAAAAAAGTTGGAGACTTTAACAATATGTCAACACTTGTGGTGGTGACATAAATAGGAGAACTCACTTCATTTGTTCTGAATGGTAACCAAGTGGAAAACTTTAACAAGGTATTAGCATGCAAAATGTCACCACCTACCATTTGTTACAGATGCCAACCACCAAACATCAACCATTGAACACAAAAAAAGTTGGAGACCATAACAAGGCATTAACATGCAAAATGCTATGCACAAAAAGTTGGATACTATAACAATATGTCACCACTTGTGGTGGTGACATAATAACAATATGTCACCACTTGTGGTGGTGACATAATAACAATATGCCACCACTTGTGGTGGTGACATAATAACAATATGTCACCACTTGTGGTGGTGACATAAATAAGATAACTCACTTCATCTGTTCTGAATGGTAACCAAGTGGAATACTGCACTTCACTGTGAAATAGTAGTTGTCTTGAGACAGCTTCATAATCACCTGTAAACATGAAATAAACTGCATAAATGTTACATTTATATTGGCACTTTAACATAGAATAATCTTTTTATATTGGCACTTCTTACATTGGCACTTTTAACATAGAGTAAACTTCATATATTGGCACTTTTAACATAGAATAATCTTCTTATATTGGCACTTTTAACATAGAATAATCTTCTTATATTGGCACTTTTAACATAGAGTAAACTTCATATATTGGCACTTTAAACATAGAAATAGAGGATCTAATCAAGACAGCTGATTATCACTGTAAGCCTCATTTTGAGTCAAAAATCTGTAAACCATGAAATATGGGACCATATATTTCAATGGTTTAAAAGCCATATTCGATGTTTTAGTGAAATCTTTCCAAAACAAAGATTAAACACGGAATAAGCATTTACAAAATACTGACACAGACAAAACACAGACATTCAACTAACCTGTGAATTTTTCTGTTTTAATTTAAACTCATCTTTTTCTGTAATGAGTTTATTTTTTATGTAACTGATCTCATCACTGCAGACACACAGGGGATTCTCTTCCAAGAATTGGTCGACAAACTTGGCGATCAAGATAATCTGGAAATATATACAGAGTTTTCAGATGTTATAAATAAAAATTTACATATAAAATGATATTATGATATTAATAGAGGTAACAAAACTAAAAGTTTTAATGGTTCTTCTGAAAAGTGATTTTACCTATCGTAATCATTTTTATTATGTCACCACCAAAAGTGGTGACATATTGTTATGGTCTCCGTTTTTTTGCGACGGCGGTTGGCGTCCGGCGTCCGGCGGTTGGAGGTTGGCGTCCGGCGGTTGGCGTCTGTAACAATTTCTTACAACTTCCTATAACTTAACAAATACTGTTTAGACTGACTTCAATTTTTTTCTAAATCATCTACTTGTTCTCAGAAGTTCAAATCTGACTTTAGATTTGACATTTGACCTTCAATGACCTTCTCAAGGTCAAAAAGGTCTTTTTTCAACTTGCTTCACATTGACTAAATTTTTTTTCAAAATCATCTACATGTTCTCAGAAATTCAAATCTGACTTTAGATTTGACTTTAAATTTGACATTTGACCTTCAAATCTGACTTAAGATTTGACATTTGACCTTCAATGACCTTCTCAAGGTCAAAAAAGGTCAAAAAGGTCTGTTTTCAACTTGCTTCAAATTGACTAAAAAATTTTTTCAAAATCATCTACGTGTTCTCAGAAATTCAAATCTGACTTAAGATTTGACATTTGACCTTCAATGACCTTCTCAAGGTCAAAAAAGGTCAAAAAGGTCTGTTTTCAACTTGCTTCAAATTGACTAAAAGAAAATTTCAAAATCATCTACGTGTTCTCAGAAATTCAAATCTGACTTTAGATTTGACTTAAGATTTGACATTTGACCTTCAATGACCTTCTCAAAGTCAAAAAAAGGTAAAAAAGGTCTTTTTTCAACTTGCTTCAAATTGACTAAATTTTTTTTTCAAAATCATCTACATGTTCTCAGAAATTCAAATCTGACTTTAGATTTGACATTTGACCTTCAATGACCTTCTCAATGTCAAAAAAGGTCAAAAAGGTATTTGTTCATCTTGCTTCAAATTGACTAAATTTTTTTTTCAAAATCATCTACATGTTCTCAGAAATTCAAATATGACTTTAGATTTGACATTTGACCTTCAATGACCTTCTCAAGGTCAAAAAAGGTAAAAAAGGTCTTTTTTCAACTTGCTTCAAATTGACGAATTTTTTTTTTCAAAATCATCTACATGTTCTCAGAAATACAAATCTGACTTTAGATTTGACATTTGACCTTCAATGACCTTCTCAATGTCAAAAAAGGTCAAAAAGGTATTTTTTCATCTTGCTTCAAATTGACTAAATTTTTTTTTCAAAATCATCTACATGTTCTCAGAAATTCAAATATGACTTTAGATTTGACATTTGACCTTCAATGACCTTCTCAAGGTCAAAAAAGGTAAAAAAGGTCTTTTTTCAACTTGCTTCAAATTGACGAATTTTTTTTTCAAAATCATCTACATGTTCTCAGAAATACAAATCTGACTTTAGATTTGACATTTGACCTTTAATGACCTTCTCAAGGTCAAAAAAGGTCAAAAAGGTCTGTTTTCAACTTGCTTCAAATTGACCAAATTTTTTTTTCAAAATCATCTACATCTTTTCAGAAGTTCAAATTTGACTTTACAAGTTCTCAGAAGTTCAAATCTGACTTTAGATTTGACCTTTGACCTTCAATGACCTTCTCAAGGTCAAAAAGGTCTTTTTTCAACTTGCTTCAAGTTAACTAATTTTTTTTTCAAAATCATCTACATGTTCTCAGAAGTTCAAATCTGACTTTAGATTTGACATTTGACCTTCAATGACCTTTTCAAGGTCAAAAAGGTCTTTTTTCAACTTGCTTCAAATTTACTTAATTTTTTTTCAAAATCATCTACATGTTCTCAGAAGTTCAAATCTGACTTTACATTTGACATTTGACCTTCAATGACCTTCTCAATGTCAAAAAAAGTCAAAGAGGTATTTTTTCAACTTGCTTCAGATTGAACAATTTCTTTTTTCAAAATCATCTACAGGATCCCAGAAGCTCAAATCTTCAAAAACCTTCTTAAGGTCAAAAGGTATTTTCCAACTTGCTTTAAATTGACCAAATTGTTTTAGGTGGTGACATTTTGTCATGTTAATGCCTTGTTTCAAATATACAATTTCATTAAAACAACTTCACTTATACTCTAAGAGCGAGGAGGAAAATTCTTAATAAATGGAGTATAGTTGGTTTGGCAGCATTTTCAGTTAGAAGGAAGTCTTGGATGAAAATTCTACCTAGGTGATAGCTTCACAGAGTGGTACATAATTCTTTTTTTTCAGGGATTAGCCCCCCACCCCCCAAAAAGACCCCACCCCGGGAAAATAATTTTTTCATTCTCGATAACTTTAGATATCTTGATGTTTGTAAGTTACATACATAGACATTATATATATGAATCATTTGCATAATAAATGATGTCAATCACTCTTACAGAATTTGAATAATAGTACAAAGTATGTACCCCAGGGGGCAAATTCGTGACCCATTTTCTTACTTTTTAGAGCCTCACTTTTGATTCAGACACTGGAAGACATTGGAAAAATTCATGTGAAGTGCTCAGTAGCAGGGCTATAAGCCCTGAAAGGTTCAAACTAATTGAATCAGTAGGAGTCGAGAAAAAAATTGTTGATTTTTTGAAAATTTTGACATTTTTGAGAGGGGTGATTTTGGGTATGACTATAGCTGATGCCTATGGTTTCTATAACTATCCCTCTTTGATTATAAATATGGTTTTGAAGTTTTGAACTAAGATGTAAAAGATAATTAAAATGGGTTTTAAGGAAGTTTAAAGTTTTAAACAAGTTCAAAATTCGAAGAATTGTACAATATCAGGTCTGAATTTACGAATTTTAGGTAAGACCTTGGGTGAGCCTTAGATTTTTTACATCTGTCCCACTTTGATGATATTTATAATTTTGTAGTGTGGAACTCAGATGTACAAAATGTTTAAGATGGTTTTTAAGAAGGTTTAAGGATTTTAATAAGTCCAAAATTTGAAAAATTGTACAATATCAGGTCTGAATTTGCGAATTTCAGGTAAGACCTTGGATTAGCCTTATATTTTTTACATATGTCCCTCTTTGATGATATGTATGGTTTTGTAGTGTGAAACTAATGAGTAAAAAATAATTTAGATGGATTTGAAGAAGGTTAAAGGATTTTAAATGAGTCCAAAATTTGAAGAATTGTACAATATCAGGTCTGAATTTATGAATTTCAGGTATGACCTTGGACGACCCTTATTTTTTTTACATCTTTCCCTCTTTGATGCTATTTATGGTTTTATAGTGTGGAACTAAGATGTAAAATATAATTTAGATGAATTTTAAGAAGGTTAAAGGATTTTAACAAGTTCAAAATTTGAAGAATTGTATAATATCAGGTCTGAATTTACGAATTTCAGGTAAGACCTTGGATGAGCCTTATACTTTTACATCTGTCACTCTTTGATGATATGTATTGTTTTTTGTAGTGTGGAACTAAGATGGTAAAAATGATTTAGATGGTTTTGAAGTGTGTTTAAGGATTTTAATGAGTCCAAATTTTGAAGAATTGTATAATATCAGGTTTGAATTTTCGAATTTCTGGTATGACCTTGGACGACCCTTTTGTTTTTTTACATCTGTCCCTCTTTGATGATATTTATGGTTTTATGGTATGGAACTAAGATGCTCAATATAATTTAGATGAATTTTGAGAAGGTTTTAGGATTCTAACAAGTTCAAGATTTGAAGAATTGCACAATATCAGGTCTGAATTTACAAATTTTAGGTAAGACCTTCGATGAGCCTTATATTTTTTACATCCGTCCCTCTTTGATGATATGTATTGTTTTGTAGTGTGAAACTAAGTTGTAAAAAATAATTTAGATGCATTTTAAGAAGGTTTAAGAATTTTAACAATTTGAAGAATTGTACAATATCAGGTCTGCAATTAATGAATTTCAAGTATAACCTTGGTTGGCACATATGTTTTTTCCACCTATCACTTTTTCATGATATATTTGGTTAAGTATTGTGGAAATGTGATAAACATAATTTAGATGGGTTTTAAAGAAGCTTAACATTTTAAACAAGTTCAAAATCTTGGCATATTGTACAATATCAGATCTGAAATTAAGAATTTAAAGTATAACCTTGCTTGGCCCGTATATTTTTATTTTAACATCTATCCCTTTTTGATTATATGGTTTAGTATAGTAGTGTGGAGCTAATATGTAAAACATAATTAAGATGGGTTTTAGATAAGTTTAAGGTTTTAAACAAGTTCAAATTTTGATGAATTGTACAATATCAGAGTTGATATTAATGAATTTTGGATATTACCTTCTTGGACGAGCCTTGTTTTTTACATCTATCCCTTTTTGATGACATACATGGTTTAGTAGTGTTGAACTAAGATGTTAAACATAATTTAGACAGGTTTTAAAGAAGTTTAAGGTTTTAAACAAGTTTAAAATTTGAAGAATTGTACAATAACAGGTCTGGAATTAATTTTAGGTATAACTGTGGATGGCCCTTATTCCTTTTTTACATCTATCCCTCTATGATGATATAATATGTGGCTGGTAATATATAGTAGTGTGGAACTAAGAGGTAAAACATAATTTAGATGGGTTTTAAGGAGGTTTATGGTTTTAAACCTGTTCAAAACTTGACAAACTGTACAATATCATATCTGACATTAATGAATTTCAGGTATATATCTCTATGATAATATATATGGTTTAGTAGTATGGAACTAAGATGTAAAACATAATTTAGATGGGTTTTAAGGAAGTTTAAAGGCAGAATCAGATCTATGGGATGACAAAATTACAAGCAACATGTACAATTCATCTACCAATCTATTCCTTACAATCTCAAATACAATTTGGAGTTTTAAGGAGGTTTTTATTTATTTTTACTTATTGCTTATTGCTACTTCAGACTAGGGTTAAACTTCCTTAAAACCCCAAATTCCTAAATTATGTTTTACATTTTAGTCCTTTAATACAGAACCATGTAAATCATCAAAGATGATTAGAATGTAAAGAACATGAGGATCATTCAAAGCTTTACCTGAAATTTGTTAATTTGTTAATTTCAGACCTGATATTGTACAATTTGTCAAGTTTTGAACCTCTTTAGAACCCAAAACTTCCTTAAAACCCTTCTAAATTATGTTTTGCATCTTAGTTCCATACTTCAATTCCATATATGTTATCATAGACAGATATTTGTAAGTAAAAAACATAAGGCTAATCCAAGGCTATACCTGAAAAATGATAATGATGGCCCAAGAAAAAACTTGCAAAAAGTAAAGTGGTAGGTCAATTTGACCCCTCCCCCCTGCAGAGATTAGGGTTAAACTTCCTTAAAACCCCAAATTCCTAAATTATGTTTTACATTTTAGTCCTATAATACAGAACCATGTAAATCATCAAAGACGTTTAGAATGTAAAGAACATGAGGATCATTCAAAACTTTACCTGAAATTTGTTAATTTCAGATCTGATATTGTATAATTCGCCAAGATTTTGAACTTGTTTCAAACATTAAGTTTTTTAAAACCCATCCAAATTATGTTATACATATTATTTCTACACTACTAAACCAAATATATCATGAAAAGGGATAGGTGTAAAACCAACCAAGGTTATACTTGAAATGTGTTAATTGCAGACCTAATATTGTACAATTCTTCAAATTTTGAATTTGCGAAAATCCTTAAACCTTCTTAAAATTCATCTTAATTATTTTTTAAATCTTAGTTCCACACTACAAAACAATACATATCATCAAAGAGGGACGGATGTAAAAAATATAAGGCTCATCGAAGGTCTTACCTGAAATTCGTAAATTCAAACCTAATATTGTGCAATTCTTCAAATTTTGAACTTGTTAAAATCCTTAAACCTTCTTAAAATTCATCTTAATTATTTTTTAAATCTTAGTTTCACACTACAAAACAATACATATCATCAAAGAGGGATGGATGTAAAAAATATAAGGCTAATCCAAGGTCTACCTGAAATTCGCAAATTCAGACCTGATATTATACAATTCTTCAAATTTTGGACTTATTAAAACCCTTTAACCTTCTTAAAAACCATCTTAATTATTTTGTACATCTAAGTTCCACACTACAAAACTATAAATATCATCAAAGTGGGACAGATGTAAAAAATCTAAGGCTCACCCAAGGTCTTACCTAAAATTCGTAAATTCAGACCTGATATTGTACAATTTTTCGAATTTTGAACTTGTTTAAAACTTTAAATTTCCTTAAAACCCATTTTAATTATCTTTTACATCTTAGTTCAATACTTCAAAACCATATTTATAATCAAAGAGGGATAGATATAGAAACCATAGGCATCAGCTATAGTCATACCCCAAATTACCCCTCTCAAAAATGTCAAAATTTTCAAAAAATCAACAATTTTTTTCTCGACTCCTACTGATTCAATTAGTTTGAACCTTTCAGGGCTTATAGCCCTGCTACTGAGCACTTCACATGAATTTTTCCAATGTCTTCCAGTGTCTGAATCAAAAGTGAGGCTCTAAAAAGTAAGAAAATGGGTCACGAATTTGCCCCCTGGGGTACATACTTTGTACTATTATTCAAATTCTGTAAGAGTGATTGACATCATTTATTATGCAAATGATTCATATATATAATGTCTATGTATGTAACTTACAAACATCAAGATATCTAAAGTTATCGAGAATGAAAAAATTATTTTCCCGGGGTGGGGTCTTTTTGGGGGGTGGGGGGCTAATCCCTGAAAAAAAAGAATTATGTACCACTCTGTGAAGCTATCACCTAGGTAGAATTTTCATCCAAGACTTCCTTCTAACTGAAAATGCTGCCAAACCAACTATACTCCATTTATTAAGAATTTTCCTCCTCGCTCTTAGAGTATTAAGAAATTACCTTGCTGAAGAAATTTTACTCAAATGTACCTAATAGTGCACAAATTGTTAATCAAATTTCAGCAAACTAATGTTCCTGAGTTACTGGAATAGTAAAGCATATCATGAACATTTATATTTTGATGTCATTTTTGAAAATGCATCTAGTACTATTGTCACTTTATAGATGTCACACCTGTTGTCTTCCTATGTGTTTCTTTGCTTCAGCATCACACATTTTTGTTAAGCCATCCAGCAGTTTTGTTGAGAACACTTTGCTCTTAAGTTCTGTTACGATTGGAGAGTTGGGATAGTCATTGGGAAATATCCAGCATATCGCCAGGTTTTTATGAGCTGTCTTCCTGCAATGTTCAAACAGAGATAACTGACTTTCAAAAGGTATATAGCATATACAGTGTATATATAGTCAGTTGAATGGAAATCTGCAAATAAAATAACAGTCGTTCAAACCGAAGAATGGTGCACATTAAAATTCAATTTATGTAACCTTCAAGATACCTTGTACAACAAATATGCCACTATATGAATAAAAATAATATTATAACATTACAAAGTACATTGTATGTTAAATTGGTACTCAAATTCTGTAAAGAATAAACAATGCGTCTTGGGTCTTATGTGAACTAATAGCCAAGGGCTGAAGCATTTATCAAATGGTACTTGCATGATGCACATTCTGACCATTTGACGGGGTACAGTATGAAATGGTACTCACTTAATGTGTATTCTGACCATATTAGGTATGGAAAAGTACACACGTAATATGTATTATGACCATACAAGGAATGAAAAAGTACTTGTATTCTGACCATATAAGGTCTGAAAAAGTACTCACGTAATATGTATTCTGACCATATTAGGTATCGAAAAGTACTCACGTAATATGTATTCTGACCATATAAGGTCTGGAAAAGTACTCACGTAATATGTATTCTGACCATATAAGGTCTGGAAAAGTACTCACGTAATATGTATTCTGACCATGGAAGGAACACAAGTGATGAGTTCTGCATCTTCAAGTTTCTTAAGCTTCTCCTTTAAATCTTTTAACTCTTCTTGAATAAACTGTATCCCTTCAGACATTCTGAAAATACATGAAACATACCATTAAAGCCTTGTAAAGATACCCTTTATCTACATCAGAGTTACAAATATTCCTGTTCTGATCAATATCTGTTCAGATTAATATGTAGTTGAACACACTTGTCCCATACCACTTTGGTGGGGTCATTTGGTAGAGTTATACATTGTTTAAGGACCCAAAATAGGCACATTGCTCAAAGGTCTCATTAGCAGCAGGCAACAGGCGATTTTCACTGGTTGTTTTCACAAAATCGCCTGTTGTTTTTTAGGGACTTTTCAACTTTTCCATGTTAAATTTATGATTTCCATTAATTTTGCCTGTTGTTTTCATTTATTTAGCCTGTTGTGAGAAATTCTAGTGAAACCCCCATTGGTGATGATGAGACAAGTGCATACAGTATGACCAACGTATGTTTGTCAAAGAATATGCAGTCACTTTCAGATCCCATAACATGTACTCTCACAAACAAATTGAAAATCATTATAACGTCATGTGTTAAGAACAATATCATGAATTCATATGCAGAATGCCAAGGTTATATGTATAACAAAATGGTAATGGTTGCTGAGGATGTTCTGATCAAAGTTTTCCCTCTATAATTTCAAATTACCATAATGAAAATCATAGAATTTTGGTCGCTTTAAGTTATTATGATCCTTGCCAAAGTCTGTTGTTTGTAAGGAGTGGATAACAGTTACTGGTGTTTAATTCTGTGATTATACTGGATTTAATTGACTGATAAATGCAACAAATGAAAATTCTAAGTGAAACTTATACAGCCTTGGTAATGTAAAGAATGTAAAGAACATTATTGAATAACCAATTGAATTATTTACGTCATTGTGTTACAGGTTTAAACGATTGACTACAAATCATTTGTCTCATCCAAATCAGGATGACTTCATAATAGTAATTGATTATTTATTGCACCAAATACAAAACAAAACAAAAAACAAAACAAAACATGTTGTTTTGTTTTACATGTTTATTTATTTTTCATTATTTCATCTATCCTGTTTAAAATAGATAATTCAGAGATGATGATCGAAGAGGAGGGAAAGCTCCAGAGCTTTAGAGATAACAGAGATAATTACATCTCTTACATTATGTGCATGTCATCTTTGAATTCTGGGGTTATTCCACTCTCTGTAGATAAGGAGAGTATTTGGTGATTGATTATTGGAATCAGTTATTTGATCGATCACTAGTCCTTCACAATGCATGTTTTATTTGACATTAGGTACAATAAGGTGCCAAGAACAATCCTCCAAACCACACCTTTTGTGATCTCCCGTGTAGTTCCATCACAAAAATGTAATGAATGTCTGACATATTGACTGTAAATTCAAATTAGCACTCCAAAAGATTTGTGTAGTAAGTGATTCAAATTCTACAGCGAAAAAATGATGGCTTTTTCATTTTGAATTTTGTAATAGAAACATGAGTCTATTTGGCAGAATATCGAGGGCCCCCTATTGAGATGGAATGCTGGGAGTCCCCCCCTTGGGGAGTTAATATGTGAGTGCATTGCCTGGGTTTGAATTCATAAGTAAATCATCAAAATATTTTATATGTCTATTTAGTGGTATAGGTTACAGTTATCCACATATATATACAATAGCATCAACATCCAAGTAGTAAATATGGTTATAATTACATGTGATCAAATATCAAACTGTCTCCCGATAATTCCTTGAATTGATTGGAAAGTATTGGCTCCTTAATCACTTAATACTCTCTTCACCTATGAATATAACTTATAGATTATGGATTGGTAATTTCGTCACGTTTGTTCTTAGCAATGTGAACAATACTAGTACTATAAAATAAGACAATAAAACTTATTCCATTGTTTCCAAAATTAGGACAATAATTGAAAATCATTGTGCAAGAAAGGAAACTCATAAAACCACAAAATAGATTTCAAAGGACAATTAAAGACTTGTCTTTGTGTTGGATCATATTTGGATATTCCACTCAGTTAATGCAAATAAATACAAAACATCTTGATGACAAAAGAATTCTGATCAGAGAGACAGTCACAAAATACCTGGAAAAACCAAGTGTTTATTTGGTGTGAAACTGCTTCTATAATACAAACAAATATATGCATTATTCAAAGATGACGGGAACAAAAACGGCAGAAATTGTGAACATTCAAATATATTTATGAACAGAGATCTTTGAACTATATGAGATAGGATGGATAACAATACAAAAATTAATGTTTTTCACTCTGAAGATTTTCCAAAATCAGCGGCATATACAGGAATAATAGGAGCATCTCTGTGTTTTATGATAGGAATACCAATCAACTTTGCAACGATTTTAACCATTATACGCTCGAAGAAACTACATAATGTGACATACTTTCTGATTGGCTATCTCTGCTCATGTGATTTAGCACTTGGTTGTTTCATATTTCCAATCGTTGTTATATCTGATGTGGCGGAAAGCTGGATATTTGGCGAGACATTTTGTGAATATTATTCGTTCATCACAAATTTGCTAGTCGGGAATGAATTAGGCTCACTGATGATTATTTCCATCAATAGATGTCTCTTAATATGCCTTCCTAAAGTGAACAGTATTCTATTCAGCAAACATGGTGTTGTGGGACTCATCATTTTCTGGGGGGTGTTTGCTGTCTTAATGCTTTTCCCACCTCTAGCAGGTCTATGGGGACAATATGGCTATGGAGCACGTAAGAATTACTGTGGATTTATAGATATTGGGGACAAATTTAATTCATTCATAGCATTGTTTGCATTTGCTTTCCCAATTTCTATCATCATCACATGCTATGTGGCGATTTTCCTTAAAATCAGAAAACATCAAAAAAGCATAAATCAGCATATCTTAAAGGTGGACGCTATACAAGAGCAAGGAAACAAAATCCAGAACCAAAAACGAACAATGAAGAAGGAGTTGAAAACAACCAAGATGATGGTGTCACTGGTGGTATTATACATAGCATGCTACATGCCAGTGTTCTTGTACATTGCTCTAGACAAAGCGACTATTTACCCAACCTTACATAGATTAAGTAATGTCATGATGTGGAGTTATGGAATTCTAAACAACTTTGCATGCCTCTATATGAACAGGCAGTTCAGAATTGTGTTTAAAAACCAGGTGATTTGTTGGTATAGACATAATTCAGTGAGACAAATTGAAGTTACTGCAACAATACTTTCTTAGTTGTCCTTACACCCAGAGGCTCCACCTGTCATCAATAGATTACTTAAGCTTGGATTTTCAATTCTTCTACTGCCATCAAGTTTGAATCCTTATTTTCTAAAAAAGAGAGGCAGTGGCCATAGAAAGCACCAAATATATCTTTAATTAATGTTAGTTACCTTGGTAAATGAATAGTTCATGAAACATGAGAATCAGCAATCTTTTAAGGTGGATCCCGGGGGTTCACTGTATACAAAATTTTGCAGGGTCCTAAGCTGAACCCTTAGATATCAATATATTCCCATACCAATCTGTCAAATTACAATATGTTCCCATACCAACCAAAATGATGCCCCAAAGTCATACCTAATGTCGAAATATAAGACCAAATGTCCAAATATAGGACCAATGCCTAAATTATCCAAACCAACCTCAAATTAAGGATTTGTGTCACTACTAGATCAATGTCATACCATACCAATCTGTCAAATTTCATTATGTTCCCATACCAACCAAAATGATGCCCAAAAGTCATACCTAATGTCGAAATATAAGACCAATGCCATACCAAATGTCAAAATATAGGACCAATGCCTAAATTATCCAAAACAACCTCAAATTAAGGATTTGTGTCACTACTAGATTAATGTCATACTACAAGTGAAATGTAATATATTTCCTATGACCATTCTCATACCATAAAGTCGAAAAATCCAACCATTGCCACTCCTCAGTACATAATCTGGGGAACATTCTCATACCAGATCCTAAAATTTGGGTCCATTGCCATACCAAATGCCAAAAAAGGTACCCCATGTGTGCCGAGGATCCCTGTCAAGGCTATATTTAGTGAACCCCCTGGGTGGATCCCGACTATGGTATTTAATGGTTGAGAAACAGAGATCAAAACCAGCCATAGTTTTCTCCTGATGACCATTGTGAATTACAATGTTGTGTTTTATGGATTATGGCAGTGGCTTTACAAATGGATGTTGACCCTTTGAATTGCCTATGTACTTTGAGACTGGATTTTCTATCCCACATCATTTGAGACAAAATGCTCATCTTTTATGAATAGCAGTATCTACAACTGTTAGATGTTATGAGTATTGGTTCTTGACCCAACCTCATGTCATGTGATTCGGAAATCCAAACAACTTAATTGGTGAACTTTTATCAACCAAACTTGAACTATAAATAAAGAGAATTTAATAGACTACTTTCCTTGGAGTTATTATTGATGATATACTGAAATGGAATGAACATATTGCTCATGTATCTTCCCATATTTTTTTACATAAATGTGTAGTCCATATTTCATATTTTATTTACTGGTTGTCATGGTAATTTTGGGATACATTAATCTCCTAAAAATATGTATATTGAATATGAAATTCATAACCTTTTTATTTATATCAATTTAAAATATAAGTATACCATGAAATATTCAACAATGTATTATACAGCATTAACACATCAACTGACATTACATAAGAGTTTTACTATAATGAAGCTAAAAATCAATTTATAGTCTAGTATTATTTTCTCATAAAACGTCAATAAACACTCATCAAATATTCTGTTTAATGAGGGTAAATTAATATATTGCTCGATGACAACATACAGATAAGTGCCTACTCCAAACAGATATTGTATTGACTGGTTAAATATAGAGGTGTCACGGATACCCAATTTTGTTCCGGACCGTGGAATTAGGCTCTCAGGTCGGAACAAAGAACAAATATTCAACATTTCGGTTCAGTTCCTAGTTCCTGAACAGGAAAATCATACTTTTTCACACCTTTTTGCCCTCAAATCGC